AAAAATCTTAAAAAAAATTTTTTTAAAACTGTTCATTAAAATAGACTTAGTCTGTTTTTTGTTCCTATATCTGAAAATCTGAGACTGTGTAACTTATAAAGAAAATAAATTTAGTTCTTACAGTTCCGAAGGCCACGAAATTTCAGGCTCAAGGAGCTGCATCTGATCAGGGCTTTCTCACTACATCATAACATGGAGGAGGGCATCTCACAGCAAGAGGTCAAGAGCATGTCAGGTCTCTCTTCCTCTTCTTATATTGCCACCATCGTAATTACCTTCCAAGGGCACCACCTCCAAATACCATCAACATATGAATTTGCAGATAAAATTTTGGAGGGCAGGCACAGTGGCTCACACCTGTAATCCCAGCACTTTGGGAGGCCAAGGCAGGTGAATCACCTGAGATCAGGAGTTTAAGACTAGCCTGACCAACATAGCGAAACGCTGTCTCTACTAAAAATACAAAAATTATTCATGTGTGATGGCACACATCTGTAGTCTCATCTACTCAGGCGGCTGAGGCTCGAGAATCGCTTGAACCCAGGAGGCAGAGGTTGCAGTGAGCCGAGACTGCACCATTGCACTCTAGCCTGGGTGACAGAGCGAGACTTCATCTAAAAAAAAAACAAAAAAGAAAAGAAATTTTGGGGACACATTCAAACCATAACGAACCTCAGCAAGTTTTTAAATTTCTGTTCATAGCAAGACCCATTAAGAAAGTGGAGAGCCGGCCGGGCGCCGTGGCTCACGCCTGTAATCCCAGCACTTTGGGAGGCCGAGGCGGGTGGATCACGAGGTCAACAGATCGAGACCATCCTGGTCAACATGGTGAAACCCCGTCTCTACTAAAAATACAAAAAATTAGCTGGGCATGGTGGCGCGTGCCTGTGATCCCACCTACACAGGAGGCTGAGGCAGGAGAATTGCCTGAACCCAGGAGACGGAGGTTGCGGTGAGCCGAGATCGCGCCATTGCACTCCAGCCTGGGTAACAAGAGCGAAACTCCGTCTCAAAAAAAAAAAAAGAAAGTGGAGAGCCAAGACACAGACTGGAAATAAAATTTATTATATAATATGTATATGTGCTATATAATTATATGTTATAATAATTATATAACTACATATTATTATATAGTAATATAGTATGTAATATGTATAATACAATACATATCTGACAAAGGACTTGTGCACAGAGTGTATAACTAGTTCCTGTAAATCTATAATAAAAAAACCAACGACCCAATTTTAAAATAAAAGAAGGCTTAAATGGGCACTTCATAAAGAAATATATTTAAGTAGCCAATAAGTACATGAAAAGATCTCAAAATTGTTAGTCATTAGGTAAATGTTAATAAAACCTCAATGAAATATCATTATACCCTTACTAGAAGAGCTGAAATTAAAAAGACTGGTAACACCGAATGTCGGCGGGGATGTGTCGCAAAAGGAACTCTCCTAGCTTTCTGGTGGGATGTAAAATGCACAACCACTTCGCGAAGTATACACCATCCTGTGACACAGTGATAGAACTTCCAGGGTTTGTTTCCCCCTCCCCCCGAGAAAGAGTCTCGCTGTGTCGCCAAGCTGGAGTGCGGTGGAGGGATCTCTGCTCACTGTAACCTCCACCTCCCGGGTTCAATTGATTCTTCTGCCTCAATCTCCCAAGCTGGGACTACAGGCGTGCGCCACCACGCCCAGCTAATTTTTCCATTTTTAGTGGAGAAGAGATTTCACCATGTTGGCCAGAATGGTCTCAATCTCTTGACTTTGTGATCCACCTGCCTCGGCCTCCCAAAGTGCTGGGATTACAGGCATGAGCCACCACGCCCAGCCTCTGGGTTTTACTTAAAAGAAATGGAAATATATACACAAAAAGATTTGTACAAGAAAATTCTTAGCAGTTTTATTCATACTACCCTAAAATTAGGAACAACCCAAATTCCTGTCATCAGGAGAATGGATAAACAAATCATGATAAGACAAAACTAAATTCTACTTATCAAGTAAAAGGAACAAACTACTGATAGAACAGCCTAAGTGAACCTCACAAACAGTATGCCGAGTGAAAAAGCCAGGCAGTATCGAGCACACACAGTAACATGTCACTCCCATGGAGTTCTACAACCAGAGAAACTAATCACTGATGAAAGAAATACTCAGAAGAATATTTGTCTCTGTGGTGAAGAGGATGGGGACAGACTCGGAAGAGAACAAGGGGCCTTTTTGGACATCTTGGATATCTTGATAGAAAGATTATTATATGACCAGGCACAATGGCTCACACCTGTAATCCCAGCACTTTTGGGAGGCCGAGGTGGGCAGATCACTTGAGATCAGGAGTTCAAGACCAGCCTGGCCAACATGGTGAAACCCCATCTCTACTAAAAACACAGAAAATGAGCCAGATGTGTTGGCAGGTACCTGTAATCCCAGCTACTCAGGAGGCTGAAGCAGGAGAATTGCTTGACCCCAGGAGGCGGAGGTTGCCATGAGCCAAGATGGCGTCACTGCACTCCAGTCTGGGTAATATCTCAAATACAAATAAATAGCCAGGTGGGGTGGCTCATGCCTGTAATCCCAGCACTTTGCGAGGCCAAGGCAGGCAGATCAGTTGAGGTCAGGAGTTTGAGACCAGCTTGACCAACATGGTGAAAACCTGTCTCTACTAAAAATACAAAAATTAGCCAAGTGTGGTGGCACATGTCCCAGCTACTCAGGAGGCTGAGACAGGAAAATCGGTTGAATCTCAGAGGTGGAGGTTGTAGTGAGCTGAGAGCGTGCCACTGCACTCCGGCCTGGGTGCCAGAGAAAGACTCCATCTGAAAGAAAGAAAGAAGAGAAAAAGGAAGGAAGGAAGGAAGGAAGGAAGGGAGGGAGGGAGGGAGGGAGGGAGGGAGGGAGGCCGGGCATGGTGGTTCATGCTTGTAATCCCAGCACTTTGGGAGGCCGAGGTGGGCGGATTACGAGATCAAGATCATCCTGGCCAACATGGTGAAACCCATTTCTACCAAAAATACAAAAATTAGCTGGGCATGGTGGCATGTGTCTGTAGTCTCAGCTACTCGGGAGGCTGAGGCAGGAGAATTGCTTGAACCCTGGAGGCGGAGGTTGCAGTGAGCCGAAATCCTGCCACTGCACTTCAGCCTGGCACCTGGTGACAGAACGAGACTCTGTCTCAGAAGGAAGGAAGGAGGGAGGGAAGGAAGGAAGGAAGGGAGGGAGGGAGGGAGGGAGGGAGGGAAGAGAGAGAGAGAAAGAAAGAGAGAGAGAGAGGGAGGGAGGGAAGGAAGGAAGGAAAGAAAGAGGTTATATGGGTATATGCAATTAGCGACACTCATCAGTTTGTACACTTAAGATCTGTGTATTTCCAAATATGTATATTTTACCTCAATTAGAAAAAAATTTTTGAGAAATAAAGAGAAAAACAATGATTAAATCACTTTAACAAAACGAGCTTAGTAAAGTCTGTTTTTAGGTGAAATCAAAATGAATCTGGGACCAATTGAAATCGAAGACTTTGAAATTAAAAAAAAAGGAGGAATAGGCCGGGCGCGGTGGCTCAAGCCTGTAATCCCAGCACTTTGGGAGGCCGAGGCAGGTGGATCACCAGGTCAACAGATCGAGACCATCCTGGTCAACATGGTGAAACCCCGTCTCTACTAAAAATTACAAAAAATTAGCTGGGCACGGTGGTGCGTGCCTTTAATCCCAGCTACTCAGGAAGCTGAGGCAGGAGAATTGCCTGAACCCAGGGGGTGGAGGTTGCGGTGAGCTGAGATCGCGCCATTGCACTCCAGCCTGGGTAACAAGAGCGAAACTCCGTCTCAAAAAAAAAAAAAAAAAAAAAGGAGGAATATAAAGAGGTGCTAACCTTCAGGGCCATCACGTGGCTTACTAAGAACTCTGCCAACTACTTGACATGCATGTGTTCATTTCATTCCCACGGCCCGTATTTCACATATAGGAGAAAAGGGATGCTTTAATAAACACATTCTCCCCACTATCTTTAACAAACACTTTAGATATAAAAGCCCCCTTATAAACTCAAGATACCAAGGCTTTTTTTTCTCTTTTAAACTACAAGCAATAAGTAGTGAATCTCTTCTTAAATCTGCTATTATCATTAACAAATGTGAACCACAGGATAAAATACCCATTACTATCTTTGGTTTCAGCAATATTCATACAATATGTACTATGATCTATGACCACAATTTTTGTTTGAGAAAAGGTCTGGTTCTGCCTTTTCTCAAAAAAAAAAAAAAAAAAACAACTCCCAAGCTCAAGCTGTCCTCCCACTTCTTTCCTCTAGCTGGGACTACAGGCATGCACTACCACGCCCAGCTAATTTTCGTATTTTTGTTACAGACAGGGTTTCATCATGTTGCCTAGGCTGGTCTTGAACTTGTGTGCTCCAGTGATCTGCCTACCTTGGCCTCCCAATGTGCTAGGATTACAGGCATGAGCTACCACATCCAGTTGCACAATTCTTAATTGTTAAACTCATATTGATCCTGTTAAACTCATATTTCTAGACTATCTTCTCTTCCCATGGTCCACTGGAGGCTAAAAAGCATAATTTGTCTGATGATTGCTTTTTTTGAGACAGAGCAGTGGTGCCATCTCGGCTCACTGCAACCTCCGCCTCCCGGGTTCAAGCAATTCCCTGCTTCAGCCTCCTGACTAGCTGGGACTAAAGGGGTGCACCACCAAGCCCAGCTAAATTTTTTGTATTTTTTGTACAGATGGGGTTTCAACATGCTGGCCGGGTGGTCTCACTCTCCTGACCTCGGCCTCCCAAAGTGCTGGGATTACAGCTGTGAGGCACTGCACCCAGCTGCCTAATGAATATTTTACCTAACTCCTAAAATGAACCTAGCACAACTTTCCTGCCAATTCAACTAGAGTCTCAAGAATACAACCTTTCTTAGGCTCCCTCATGAACTGCAGACTGTTTCAAAAGACATTAACAAGAATAGGAAGGGACAAGATGGTCCTTACCACATCCAATATAGCATGGACAAACAGGTCCAGGTAGACTGTGGTGGCCTTGGTCCAGTTGTAAACTGGTCTCACTTCTTTATGATATTTCTGTAATAGCTGCTTACTGAGATGATACAGAGCAGAATTCCTGGGATGATGCGTATCTGTGGCTAGAATTCCCGGAAAAGAAACAATCATTGTGAAGATAAAGGTAAAAGGAACTTGGTTTCTTTAGGAGGTTTCAGACTCTTCAGGACTCGGTGGCTCTTACTAGAATACAGCTTTCAGCTGGCATCAGTTCACAGCCAGCTGGTAGAGCCTTTGGCAAACGCTTAAAGTAAGCTGATGGCCTAAGTGCCCAACGGAGAAATCTCATTTTAAAAACAAGTAAATCAATCCCATCTCCAAGGTTGCAAACTGTGCATACAATTCCATTTTACAGCAATCCTGCATTTTGAAGACAGAATAATTTCTTTATTCCTGTATGATCCTCTCCTGGAATCTAGAAGACACCCACCTACACACTTAGCCAAAACTTAACTCCCGCCTTGGTTTTTCTTTTGATTTTTCATTTGTAATTCAAAACTTAAATAGAAATATCAAGCAAAAACAAAAAAAACATGCACAAACCCATTAACCCAAAAAACATGTTTAGATTTCTAGATAATGGAATTAATGGGAGCCCAATTTGTAGTTTTCTCCTCAAAAATATATTTTCTCACTTCCTCTGTCCTTAAATAAAATGCACTTGTCAGAAAATGAGATCTTTGTTTTGAGAAAATTCTCTCTGGTTCCAGGGAGGAACCATTTCTTCTGACCCAAAAATCTTGATTTGTAGAGGAGCTGTGATTGGTGTTGAGGGCAGGGAGGCCAGGGAAAGGCAGGCAAGAGAAATGAGCACCAGCAATTGGAAGTGACAAATTTGTGAGGGCTTTCTCTGAATTGCAAAAAGATATTTTGTTCACAAGCTTTGCCAGCCCTTAGGGGATTCATAGCTTCACTCAGTCATTGGACCGAAGCAAATTGCACACCTCCTGACAAAGTGCTTGAGTGAAATCTCTCTGTAGTGTCCTGCGTGTGAATTCGCCTGGGCTCTCAGTGGTTTTGATGGTTATTTTGATGAGCTGCCGAAGGTATAAGGGATCCAGCAGGAAACTGTAAATGAGATCGCTTCTCCCTGTGCGACAATCCTGTTTACACCCATTTCTTTATGAATGATGTCATGTCAGTTGCTGCCACAGGCAGCAATTTCTATGATTTAACAATGTCAGTGTGACCAAAATGCTCACAGCAATGCTGGAGGTGCAATGCCAGACTCCTTGTGGGCAGAGTAATACTCACTCTCATTACCATCGGAACTGGGAATCTAATGAGCATTTTAACTCCCTAACTATTCACCCAAGAAGATGCCTAAAATGGCGTTAGCCATTCAGGCGTGCAGGACTAAGGTGGGTGGCTTGCATCAGGCATCATTTGCAGGGTATTTGTGAACTGTTATTGTCAAAAAGTGTGCTGTGAATCTCTCTACCTGAGAACATTTCTTGCTGGTGTACCCCAGGGGAGGGAAGTCAGGAGCACAAAGCAAAGCTGGCCCAGTGCTTTTCCTGCCAACTTTGCTTTGGGCGGCTTCATGTTTACCTCGCTTGGAAGCTCCCAATTCAGGTCTCCGTTGGGGAAACACCGAAATGAGCATGTTTCAATACGGGAAACTACCTGAGATAGCATTAAAACATAATTCTAAGAAATGCATATGTGTTCCCCACACCCTCTGCTCATAAAGACTCCAATTCCCCTCTGCGTTCTTGTCTAGGAAGCAATCCATAGGTTCCCTATGGATAAACTCATGTTATCTAGAATGGGTCAAAGTCTTGGTTAAAAAGAGAAAGTTCTGGAAGCTAGGACTAGGAACAAAAGAGAATCAAACACTGAAAGGAGAAAAATAGTAAGCAAATGGAAATGCACTTAAAAAACCAAAAGGGGAAAGAGTTCATTGTTTAAGATGGGAAGAAATAATAAATTACATTTCTACTATGAATGCAAATTTGCCTGAGGAGAAAGATCAATTACAGGAGAGAGATTAAGGATTTAAGTGACCATTAATTAACAGTAAATTATGCCTCTTGAAAGCTAATGTGACATTCACACAAGCACTAAATGATTCACAGTTCAGTGATGTTTGAACAGACACTGATGGAAGCTATCAACAGACCCAGAAAAGATTCCTCGCCAACACTGCCTTCTTGAATGCTAATAATCAGCTTCAAATAATTCACTTGTAAGATTTCTGGAAAGTAAAATGTGTTAGGGACTGAGCTATGAAACACTTGTAGGTGAAGAGAGATTGAAAAAGAAAAAGATAAGTACACAATAAAGTTATTCCTTTGTTTTCCTTGTTTTAACGATTTCCTCTCCCATGCATCTGCCTTAAAGTGTTCAGGCACTTTTGATGAAAAGCGCTGTTCTTGCTTTAGTTACTATGTGTCTGTAGGATTATAAGAGAGTTACACATATATCTGAGAGGTTAAAAGGAAATTAGATTTAGGTATTGAATTCCTAACACTAATTGCATGCTGACTGTATGCCAGGCATCAAGCTAAGCTCTCACATGAATGATCTCCTTCAACGTTCCTAACAACCTGATGAAACAGGTACCCTACAGCCTTGTGAGGAGCGCACTGTTCCTGCATGTGTGGGACTATTGGCATAATGAGGTTAGCACTGCCCACGGTCGTGAAACCTGCAAGTGAAGGGAGTGATATTTACACACAGCTGGTCTGGATCTGAATGAAGTCCAAGCTGTTTATCATGACACCACATGATTAAGTGTAATCTGGTTCCCTGAGAATATTAGGAACAACAGTAAGTAACCTTTCAAAAGGAAGACTGACATATTGTATGGAGAGTTATTGGACAGAAATAGCCAGTGGTATTTTCTTTTCTTTTTTTTGAGACGGAGTTTTGCTGTTGTTACCCAGACTGGAGTGCAATGGCACGATCTCAGCTCACCGCAACCTCTGCCTTCTGGGTTCAAACAATTCTCCTGCCTCAGCCTCCCAAGTAGCTGGGACTACAGGCACACACCACCATGCCCAGGTAAGTTTTGTATTTTTAGTAGAGACAGGGTTTCACCTCGTTGACCAGGATGGTCTCGACCTCTTGACCTCATGATCCACACACCTCGGCCTCCCAAAGTGCTGGGATTATAGGCGTGAGCCACCGCACCCAGCCAGCCAGTGGTATTTTCTATATGTGGTTTCAGATTAATAATATCTTACATTTGCAGCTGGGTGCAGTGGCTCACACCTGTAATCCCAGCACTCTGGAAGACCAAGGCCATAGGATCACCTGAGGTCGGGAGTTCAAGACCAACCTGGCCAATATGGTGAAACCCTGTCTCTACTAAAAATACAAAAATTAGCCAAGCATGATGGCGGGTGCCTGTAATCCCAGGTACTTGGGAGGCTGAGGCAGGAGAATCGCTTGAACCCAGGAGGCAAAGTTTGCAGTGAGCCGAGATCGCACCACTGCACTCCAGCCTGGGCGACAAAACTCTGCCTCAAAAATAAAAACAAAAACAAAAAAACTTACATTTGCATTGCATCTTATAATTTCACAATGCTGTCTTATTTGATTGTCATGAATATTCAAAATAAAGTTAACTTACGGGAAAACTGAGTCTCTAAAAGATTGATTGACTTCCCAGGGTTACGTGGCTGGTGAGCAGTGAAGCAGGAGTTAGCTGGTTCTCCTTGTTCAGGCCTCCTTCTATCCCAGCACACTGCCCCTGGGATTGGTTCAGCAATTTTATATCTACAAATAGTCTGGATTTGTAAATATACTAAAATGTGTAATGTAAATATAGTAAAACCCAGTAAAATTCCATGGGGCAGATCTTTCTGCAACAAGTATCTTCGGTATGATTTATGGTAAAGCACTCGTTATTAGACACTATTAAAACACTTCTTTCTGCTACATTTAGAACAAAAATCATGCATAATACAAAACATTAGAGAGATATTGGTAACAACTTAGCCTGTTTTCTTACCTTCCTTTTTCTATTTTATCTTAGTGTAATGTTCACGATTATTTTCTGCTAAGAAACCCATTTGGCATTTAATGACATTTCCTCTGTTTTTATTTTTACAATTAAGATAAGCTTTTTCCTTTATGTGCAACATCCAGGATTTTTATACTTTAATGATAAGTGGCTATTTTTCTTCTCTACCCAATAAAAAATATTATTTCCAGCTCCCTGACTACCAGATTTCTAACTCAGCTCTATATAATCTACTCATTCCACTTCCAGTTACATTTTAAAACTTGAGAATTCAGATATGAGCTCTTGGAGAAGCCTCAAGAAAGTGGAGTGTTGAGAAACACCAGCATCATCATAAACTCTTGATTTGTGTACGTGTGCTAAGAATCAATTGTATCCTAACTAAAATGATTCAACTTAGTAGAGTTAATACTGGTACCATGGAAGTATAGTTCCAGAAAATTAGAAAAAACAACATATTAAATTCTTTAACATATAAACTTAATATATTAAAATACATTAAGAGGAATTGCATACTGAAAACTTGCAAGTTTACAGTACCTGTCTTTAGAGATATACTCATCACCTACATAGATTTGTAAGGCGAGATGTTAAAGACTAATACCAAAATGATATACATATGTCTGTAGCTACGACAAATCGAAGGGACTTTTTCTCTGGGCTGCTAAAAGCCGATAATGAAGCCAAGACTATTTTGGAGAATAAAAACGTATTATCTACACTTAAGAGCAAATTTGAAAAAAAATGCCCCAAACTTTCAGTGTAAATTGCTGCCGAGAGCTTGATTTCTAGAGAAGCAGAGATTTATCAAGCAATTATAACATTTCAGAGCATATTTTCAGCAATGTGTGAAAAGCCCAACGGTGTGGTGCCACATGTACCTGCATTTGCAATAATAGGAACACAGTCAGAAACAAATCACTGTTTTCCACGCAGCTTCACAGGACTGGAATTTTACAGATGACGAATAAAAGCAAACACTCGCGAGGAGTTCTGTAGCACAGTGTATAAAAATATTGTCTCTATCTTCTAAGAGTTAATACTCAATGCCTAGTAAAATCATTAAAAAGACTCACCTACAGCCACCAGGATGCAGGCCCACAGGGAAGCCATCACACTTGCCCACATTTCCTGGGCAGATCCCAGCAGGGAGAAAAGCAGACTTGCCTACCAGATGGGATGCTGCTCAGTTTTTCCTAACAGGGTTCCTCTCCACTCCGTTCTTGTCCTTCTCCATTTGCCAGTTGGTGCTATCCTTACTGGGGCTATTTTGTAAACACTCAGCGGAACCCAAGGCAATACCAGCACCACGCAAATGTTTTGGAATTGATGCCATCATGAAGTCCCTTAACTTCAAGATCAGACCGTGGCCAACATTTCCATTTTCCTGACAGGAGATAGCTAAGTGAATAGTGTCATCTGAGAGGAGCCCCTAAGGAGAGGAAATTCCACACTAATATGATTTCCTCCACAGCGTTTACCTAAGGCAGTGCTCTTGCTGACATTCAGGACACTAATTTCATTAATAATTGAAACCCAAATAGCCGTTCTAAATCAGACTTATGCGGTAACATCTTCAGCATTTGACAGTGGTTCTTGGACTCCTGAAATTACACAGGCTAATGGAAACCCGGTACTGTCTAATGAAGAACAACTGCAAACAATGCAAGGGGGAAAAGTGCTTTTTGTTTTTCCTAAACCTGTTTAATGAAAAGAAACATTGATTTTTGATAACTAGGAGGGCCTCTCAAATTGTCTGTCACTGCTCACAATTCAGAAAGTAACCTTCTAGAAAGGATGCTTCTAGGCTTATTGAAGATGAAAACTATTAAAGTTTAACATCACTGAATAAAGGGTTTTTTCACTTTTTAATTGAATATCCATTTATTCTTCATTACTAAGGGAAAAGATGCATAATTCTATATAATAACACTATTTTCCATTTCTTGACCCTCCCCCAGATGCTCTAGAAAGAAAAGACAAGTCGGGCGCCATGGCTCACACATGTATCCCAGCACTTTGGGAGGCCAAGGCAGCCAGATCAGCTGAGGTTGGGAGTTTGAGACCAGCCTGACCAAGATGGAGAAACTTTGTCTCTACTAAAACTGCAAAATTAGCTGGGCATGGTGGCACATGCCTATAGTCCCAGCTATTCCGGAGGCTGAGACAGGAGAATCCCTTGAACCCAGGAGGTAGAGGTTGCAGTGAGCCGAGATTGCAGCACTGCACTCCAGCCTGGGTGACAGAGGAAGACTCTGTCTCAAAAAAGAAAAGAAATAAATACAAATGTAATGTGTGTGTACACATGTTCATACATACATATATTCCCTAGCTCTGTCCACTTAGCGGCCTAGGAGAGTGACACCCCAATAATAGCGAGCACACCTAGCACCATAGCTCTTCCGGTATAGTCTTGCCAAAAATTTATAACTTGAATCTATGCAGGAGGAAACACCAGACCAGACAATGTCATATTGTGGGACAAACAAAGCGGCAGCCATCTTTAAAAGTGCCAAGGTGGGCCAGTCCTGTAACCCCAGTACTTTGGGAGGTTGAGGCAAGAGGACAACTTGAGCCCAAGAGTTTGAGACCAGCCAGCCTTATGTATGCATCCTACACATAAGGATACCCTGTCTCCACAAATTAAAAAATTAGTTTAAGGTGGTAGTGTATTCCTGTAGTGCTAGCTACTTGGGAGGCTGAGGCAGGAGGATCACTTGAACTCAGGAGACGGAGGCTGCAGTGAGCTGTGATTGTGCCACCGCACTCCAGCCTGGGCAACAGAGGTAGACCCTGTCTCAAAAACAAAAACACACACATACACACAAGTGCCAAGATCATAAAAGTTAAGGAAAGACTGAGGAACCTATCAAGCAAACGGAGACTAAAGAGATACAGCCCGGTATCTGATTCTGAACTGGATCCTTTTGTTATGGAAATAATTGAAATTGGAATGAGGTACGTGGATTAGATGGTAGTAATGTGGCAATGCTGCTTTCCTAATTTTAATTGTATCGAGATTATGCAAAAGAATGTCTTTGTTTGTGAGACCAGCACGCTAAGTATACAAGAGAGAGGGAAGACACGAGAAACTGACTCATGCCTGTAATCTCAGCACTTTAGGAGGCTGAGGTGAGTGGATCACCTGAGGTCAGGAGTTCAAGACCAGCTTGGCCAACATGGTGAAACCCCATCTCTACTAAAAATGCAAAAATTAGCTGGGCACGGTGGCACATGCCTGTAATTCCAGCTACTCAGGAGGCTGAGGCATGAGAATCGTGTGAACCCAGAAGGCAGAGGTTGCACTGAGCCAAGATCATGCCACTGCACTCAGCCTGGGTGACAGAATGAGACTCTGTCTCAAAGAAAAAAAAAATAGTGAGAGCACATCATGTTGCTAACTTATTCTCAAATGATTATGGGGGTTGGGAGGAATTCTTTCTACTCTCCCTCCAATTCTGCTATACATTTGAAAATATTTCAGAAGAAAGAGAAATGTAAATGTAACTTGGTGGAGGAACTTTGGTATGCAGTTATGGAAAGTCTATTTAAGAAACACCCTTTAGAGAGGATGGGCAGTTAAATGCGTCTTCATCAAGAGAAGATCGTAGAGAACTGATCTGGCCTTCAAAGTCTCCACTCTTCCTATCGGTTCTTCGAATTATCAGCTTCTATTTATGAGATGAATTAGGACAAGAGAAGGGCAAGCTACAGGCAACATTGCTATGTACGTGGCACTTTTTATGGAAAGCAATGCAGAAACATCCCTTTATGCAAAGGTTTAATTGAGGTGATGATCGACATTGCATTCTTGCCATGCATTTTAGTAATCCATGACTCTAAGTCAAGCCTTCCGGGGACATGCTTCTTTCCCTTTTCTTTGCTCTTCTCATATGCCTATCTGTTACTGGAAGGCCATTGCTAATGATGTGTAATACAGGTACATTACGATTTCATTAGCAAACTTAACAACAGTCTGGTAATTGTGCCCATTATGGTTCTTTATTGGCTGATGAATTCTGCCAAGATGGGAATGGTTTTGTGTGAGTGACTTGTCTTTAAAGTAGGTTATATACAGATGCTTCCTGATCTTTCCTTGACGGCCTTGCTCTGTACCGTCAGCTGGCCTAGAGCTTTCTTTTCTTAACCTTAGTGTCCTGTCTGGACTTTGTTTACTCAATATTTCTAGTTTTTTTTTAAGGGGCAGGGTCTCATTCTGTCGCCCAGGCTGGAATACAGTGGTGTGATCATGGCTTGCTGTAGCCTCCATCTCCCAGCCTCCCATAGCAGTGGATATATGTGTTTGCCACAACACCTCGCTAATTTATTTTATTTTTATTAGAGATTAGGTCTTACTATGTTGCCCAGGCTGGTCTTGGTCTCCTGAGCTAAAATGATCCTCCCACCTTGGCCTCTCCAGTAGCTAGGAATATAGGCATGTACCACCTCACCCAGCTAATACTCAGTACTCTTAGGTTTGGTATTGCTCCTCTCCCCACCCTTTAATTTTTCATGAAAATGGTCCCTCCTCACTATCCTTACAGACAGCATTTTTCATCCACGGATAAGGTTTGGCTCTGTGTCCCCACCCAAATCTCATCTCAAACTGCAATCCCCATGTGTCGAAGAAGGGGCCTGGCAAGAGATTATTGGATCATGGGGTGGGGGGGCAGATTTCCCTCTTGTTCTCATGATAGTGAGTTCTCACGAGATCTAATGGTTTAAAGTGTGACACTTCCCCCTTCTCTCTCTCTCTCTCTTTCCCCCATGGAAGACCCGAACTCCTCAGGTGATCACCTACCTCAGCCTCCCAAAGTGCTGGGATTCCGGGTGTAAGCCACCACACGCAACTGTATTTGGACTTCTTATGTAGCATTACTTGGGCAAAAGAAACAAAGATTTAATCTGGGATTTGAATGTACCATTCTCTTACAGAAGATCAGGCCAAGCCCATCATTAAGAAAGTACCTGAAAATATATTTCTTTTAGAAGTCTATACTTCACATCCCCATGAGGCTTTGCACTCTGGTTCTCCATTATTTTCAAGTAAGATATGGCACCTCTTAGATCGACCGATGTCTTTTGGAAGAAGCAAGGGGAGAGGGTTTATTATGCAAACATAATAAGGAAGTGTTTATCATGCAAACAGCAACTGAGTTATGTGTCCTTTAAGACTACTAAATAGTTTTTAATTACTGCTATATCAGTAAATCCCATAAATATGCAAATGCAATTAGTTCACAAAATAGGCCTTAAATATCTTTATTCCTCTCCAACAAAGTTCTTTGAAGTTAATCGCTAACTCTCTTTGTTCACTCCCTTGGCAGTCATGCTAAAATTGACAGGAATTTTGACAGATGTACATATTCAGGGGGAACCAAATTTTCTGAGCACATCTGGTCAGGCTAGAGGAAAAAAGCAGAAACGGACACTCCAGCCAAACTGAAACATTTAATGAGCAGAGTCCCATGTGAAATTTCCGTTACTCCACAGCGTTGCCCTCTGAAATCAATATCAAGCTAACCACAGAGGCGGCACTTCAAGCACAAAGGCACTCAGCATTCCATTTTCCTCTAGCTTAGAATTTCATTTTTAATAATAATGCACATTTTATGGTCCCTAAGAAGTAAACAAATAAACAAGGGAACTTGTGGTTCCGGACTTTTGTGGTTTATGTGTCATGGTTTTCTGTGGGAGGTCGTAGAGCATGAGATATAAGGTCCCAAGCCTTGGAGTCAGATGTATCTCATTGTGCATCCTAGCTTCGTCACTTGCTAGATGCTCATGGCCTTGGCCAAACTGCTTACTGTTTCTAGGCCTTAGTTTTCTCATCTGTAAAACGGGTTTAACCAGCACTGAGTTAGTTTTCTATGGCTGCATTAAAAAATTACCACAAACGTATGAGCTTAAAACAGCACTCATCATTCGGGCGTGGTCACGTCTATAATCCCAGCACTTTGGGGAGGCTGAGGCAAGCGAATCACCTGAGGTTGGGAGTTCAAGACCAACCTAACCAACGTGGAGAAATCCTGCCCCTACTAAAAATACAAAATTAGCTGCTCATGGTGGTGCATGCCTGTAAACCCAGCTGCTTGGGAGGCTGAGACAGGAGAATCGCTTGAACCCAGGAGGCAGAGGTTGTGATGAAGTGAGATCACACCATTGCACTCCAGACTGGGCAAGGAAAGCAAAACTCTATCTCAAAAAAAAAAAAAAAAAGAGCACTAATCTATTAGCTCACAGTCCTATAGGTCAAAAATCCAGGAACAGAATGAACAGATTTGCTCAGTGTCTGACAAGGCTGAAATCATGGTCGCGTGCTGGAGCCAGCTCTCACTGATCAAAAAAGCCATTTTTTCAAATAAGTTTCCAGTGATAACGATTGGTAACTTGAAATCAGTCAG